TCTCTCGCTCCCCCTCACACACACGCGTCCCGCTCTCTCACTCACACACGTGTGCCCACACAATGGCAGTGGCATTGCGTCAGACAGGCCTGCCGGTGCACCGCGGAGCCTGCCGGCCGGCTTGCCCGTCCGTCCAACCTTGCACTTGCCGTGTCGCAGCCTTGCAGCCTTGCAGCCTTGCCTCGCCGCACCTGGCTGCACTCGCTGCAGTCGCCGCTCTGCTAGCCGGACCGGAGTCCGGAGGCGTCGTGCGTGGCAGTGTGGCTGACGAGGTTCGGGTCGGGCCGCCTCCGCCTCGGTCAAGCGATGCGAGTGATCGACCTTGCCGAGCGACTGCCCATTCGGCGCCTATGAATAATGGCGAGTGGGTTTGTTTGGATGTGAACAGCGCGTCCTCATTTCCCACTCAAGGGAAGCTTCCTTATGTGGCGACGAGCAGCCACTAGCAGTGCAGGTGCGGCGGCGCAGGTGCGGTAGCCGGTGCCGCTCGCTCGCTCCTTGTCTGGAGCCTCCAGAGGACTGACTCCGAACAGTCGCGCCGTCTCTCTCGCACCTGCACGCGAAGCACGCGAAGCACGCGAAGCCCCGTGAGTTCGGAGTCGGAGGCGTGCCGGCGTGCCCGCACTGCCCGCCCCGTTCCCGGAGAACTGTCCGGGACGAGGCACGCACGCTAACGCCGCAGTGCTAACTAGTGTAGTGTCGCTCTCCTTTCCACGCTGCACGCGCTGCACCGAAGGGCCGAACCCTTGCCCTTGCTGCAGGCGCTGCAAGGTCGCGCAGGCTTCGCACAGCGCGGCTCCGCGCGGCACCGCGCCTCGCCCCCCGGGAGGAGGTCAGTCAGGCAGCCCGCTGGTCCCCGCTGGCAGCCCGCTGGGGGCCTAGGGCCTAAACTGCAGAGCGGGCCGGCCGGCCGGCTGACTGGCTGCGGACGGCGCGGCGGGGGGCGGCGGGGGGCGGCGGGGGGCGGCGGGGCACCTGTGCGCTGGGGTACTGTACTAAGTACAGTCAGTGGGCCAAGTCGGCCCGCTGGCGCATGGCTGTCGGGGCGGCCCGGGCCTCGCAGCCACAGGCCGCCACAGGCCGGCCGCAGACGCGTGCAAGGGCAAGGTGGGGCCTCGGCTGGACTCTCAACCGGCCCGCGAGGCGCGACGCGGCCCGGCGCGGACATAAAAGCGATCGGGAATAAGTGCGCTCTGCATAATGAGTTGCAATCTCGGTTTCCTGCCCGCCGAGCGAAGCATAGCGAAGCCGGCCGCCAGTGTGACGGTGTGACTGAGTGACTGTGTGACTGAGTGACTTTGTGACTGTGTGACTGTGTGACTGAGTGACTTTGTGACGGTGTGACTGTGTGACGAGTCGTCGGTCCACTCCGCGCGGCGGGGCGCGCTCAGACAGGCTCCACTCGATCATGATGGAAAAAGTCGAAACGAACAAGTCAATCACGGACAGTCTCGAGAGTCCGGGTAGGTGATTCGCCTCGCCGGCAGGCAGGCAGCCAGCCAAGGGCGAGGACGCAGGACGCGTGCTAGGGATGTGACGTCACCTGCAACCTTGATAGTCATCTGATACAGCGCGCGGCGTGGCGCGGCGTCGCGGGGCGTCGCGGCGCTTGCAGTGTAGGGCGCACCGGCAGCGAGACAAGGAGTGGAGGGTCGAGGCCGCGGACGCCCGCCGCGGCGCTCCGGGGGTCTAGGCGGCGTGTGGCCGCGTGGCGTGGCAATGGCGAGGCGAGGCGAGGCGGTCAGGAGGTCAGGCCATCACCGGAGGCTCGACGTCCACCACGTCCACGTCGATGCGGCTGTCGACATTACGCCGGCCCCATTTCCTCTGCTCTTTTCGGTCGACGTCACTTTTGGCTTTTGGCGAGGGAAATTGGATTTTGCTCCGCTCCGGCCAGCCGGCCAGTCGGCCACGGGGGATGGCTGGCTGGCTGGCTGCCTGCCTGCCTGGCTGGATCGGTGCGCCCCGCCTTGCCCCGTCCCACCCCCTCGCTTCGTCCCGTCATCTGCCCACGCAAGGCAACTTGGCCGCCCCCGCGCCAGCACCGCAGCGCTCTCACTCACCCCCAGGCCGCGGCGCCGGCGCCGAACCGCCCGGCTGGCTGGCCCGCCACACTCAGTCCCGATACCTCCCCGCCCCGCCCCGCCGCGTGACGCACTCCCAACTCAGGTGGGCGTCGCATCGCACCGCCGTCTGATGTTTCCACGGTGGGTAAACGGGTACAGTAATGGCGTTGTTTTCCGATACGTCCCCGTCGTCGGCGCGCTCGGCTGCTCGGCCTGCTCGGCCTGCTCGCTGGGTTCACGAAGGCGTTTCCGTTGGCGGCTTGGGGATGGCGCCTTGGCACGCACCCGCCGCGGGCACGCGCGTGTCTCGCGCGCGTCAAGGAACTGGCTTCTGGTTTACTCACACCACGGCCCGGCGCAGCGCGCCCCGCGTGCGTTTGTTATTGGCAGCGGCCGGTCGCTAGGCTGCCCGCTCCCCCTCCCCGAGGGCGCAAGGTCTTCCTCGCCGCCCACCCCACCTGGTAACTGCGGGGTCTTCGGTGAGGTCCTCGGTGAGGTCCTCGGTGAGGTCCGCGAGGCCTCGGGGCGGCAGCGGGTGGCGGGCGGGAGTTGGCAGTTAGCGCCGCGCTGCGAGAAGCTAGAATATAGTGCCGCGTCCGCCGCGCCCGCGCCCCGCGCCCGCCCCGCGCCCCGCCCGTCGCCCCACGCCAAGGCCGTCGTAGCGAAAGAGCGGCCGGCGAGGGAAGGGGACAATGGGTCGCGGGGGCCGCGGGGGCGGAGGGACCGCCTCGACGCCGGGCCGGCCGGCTTGCACCATACTCCGCGCCCCGCCCCACCGCCTGCACCGAGTGGGCCGGGTGGGCTGGCTGGGGCTTAACGCCGCGAGTGCATCGGTTGACATTTGGCCGCGCTTGGCGACGGCAGAGCGGTAGAGCTCTGCGCAGCGCTCTGCACTATCTCGCCATCCGGGGCGCTATCGCCATCATGCACTGTGTGCGCCACGCCGCGCCTCGCCACGCGGCACGCCACGGCACGGCACGCCACGCCACGCGGTGATGCGCGACACGTGCGCCGCTGCGACGCTGCGCTCCTCGAAGCGGCCTTTGATCGCGGCCAGAAGAAGGATGGGGAAAAAGTAATCGTCGTCGGCGGAGACGACGTGGATGAGGGGGCGAAGGACGAAGTCATTGGCGCGTTTAGCGAGCCGCGCCTCGCCTGGGTGAACAGTGGCGCAGGGCGTAGCGGCGCGGCGGTGGGGGATGGGGCGTAAGCGACACCCGTGCGACCGGCTGGAGTCGACGCGCCACTGTGTGTGCACGTGTGTGCGCGTGTGTGTGTGTCGGTAATGGTTGCCGAGCTTTGTCTGCGGCGCGCCCGCCCCCTACAGCCCGTGCGGCTGTGCGGCGTGCGCATAGGGCTGCACTTCGGGGAGTGTGTTTGGGTAATCTGCAGCATGCATCGCAGTGGAGCGGGCGAGCAGGGCGGGCAGGGTGGGCAGGGCAAGCAGGTGCACGCGAGAGCCAAGCCGGCCAATCGATGCCGTGATCGGGCCAAGCCCTTCATCCGCGCGGCCGCCCTCTGAAAGCCTGCCCGTCAAAGCCCCGGCAAGCCCGGCACGACCACCGCCACCACACCGTCACCGCCACCGCCGCCAACATTGCAGGACGTACGGCCGCCCAGTTTGGCTTGATTGAATTACCATGCAGTTGCGCCGCGCCACCGCGCTGCCGACGGCGGCCCTGCTGTAAATCAGCGAATAACGGCGAGCAGCGCTGCTGCTAGGTCCTGCAGCCGCGGCTCGGGTTACCTGGGCGGCTGGCTCGCCGCGCGATCTCCAAGTCCCGAGACTCGTACCAGCCGTCTCGCAGAAAAATGGCAGCCACCGCGGACGGGCAGGGCACCTGCGCGCCGTCGAAGCCCCCGAAGGCCCTCATCTCGAGATTGCTCAGGACGTCGTCGAGGGCCGCAGCGTGCTGTCCGCGGGCGGGGGGCGGGGCGGCGCAGCACCTGGTGTTTTTCTTGCCGCCTCCTCGAGGACGTCGTGGAGCCCGTGGGAATGGAGCCCCCTGAATAATGGGCCAGGCTCGCGGGGGGCGGTGGCGACGGCGTTGTCCTGGGACAGCCGGCACCTGGCAGAACTCCCTTGTAACGCGTCGTCCAGGCGGTGCACTGCCGGTGCGTCCCCACACTAGGAAACAATCCCGCCGGCCGCCGCTCTTGCTGAACACGGGTCCGACGAGCGTGCTTGCTGCACTGCACCGCCCCGCCGCCGCGCGGTTGGCGTTGCTATTTCAGCACGGTCTCGATTTATCCCGGGCAGGGCTTCTAATCGGTCGGAGCGTCGCAGGTGGCACTAGTGGCACCAGCAGCGCGCTAGGCCTCGCCTCGCCGCTTGCATGCGCTTGCATTATGCACTGGGGCCGTGGGCTGCCAGGCTGTCAGGCCGGGCTGCCAGGCCGGGCTAGCCGCCAGAGCGCTGCTGGGGAAGGACATCCAAGGACGCGGCGTGCAGGATGACTCCCACGTCCATGGCCTTTCATCGGAAAACGCGGAGGTCCGACCAAATACGCCCCGGCGGCCCGGCGGCCCGGCGGACAGCGCACCTGTGCAAACGCGTCCGTGTCGTCCACGCGGCAACAGCGAAGGCCCTTCGCGCTTCGCGTCGAGTTGGCGTTCGCGTGCTGTGAAAAGCAATTTGGGAGCGGGCCCGATAATAACCAAGTGCTGGCTCGCCCAGCGGAGCAGCGGACAGGCCATCGGAAGTTTTATTTGGGACAACGAAGCGCTAAGTGCAACAAGGGACACTTCGGCGCCCAGCCAAACGGCCGTCGAGTTGACACTTCATTTTCGTCAGGGACACCGCGCCGCCGTGCTGTCGCCCTGCGACACTTTCCACGACTTGGCGCCTCGGAAAGAGATCCTTCCCCCGGACAAACGAAAGTGTTGTTTCTGTCTTCGTTTTTCTTTCCTCACGACTTTGTTTGTGTGTTGCAGGTCGCGGAAACGGCGGCCCAGCGCCTCCCACGACGAGGGCCTGGACAGCGGCCTGGGCCTGGGCGGCATGGGCATGGTGGGCATGGGCGAGGCCGTGCCGCGCGGCATGATGGACGAGTGCACGGCCGCGCTGGTGCTCATGAGCCTGTCCTGCAGCCCGCACTCGCCCGGCGTCAACTCGGGTAAGTCATGTTACGTGCTTCTTGGACGGGACCGCGCCACCGCGCCCCTGCCGTGCACGATATCAAAGTCTCGTCTCGGGTGGCGGGGCAGCGAGCCATGCGTGGTATGGGCCGTAGCGCCACCGTCGCAAATTTGCCCGTGCACACACACACACACACGCCGACCGACCGCCGGCTGTAATGGAGCTCTGTGTGTGTGTGTGTGCGCGCGTACAAAGGATGCCAGTCACCCGGAAGCTCTACTCGGCCGCTCGCTGCTCGGTAACAGGGCGTGGCGCAGCGCGCAGCCATTGGGTGCCATTCGGTGCCATTAGTCCATCTGTCACGGACGTGCGCGCGTTCGGCCCTCTGCTCGCCCTGGGGCCCAACCAGGCCCAAACGGCAGGCTGTCTCTCTCGCTCCCTTACGGGGCGCGCCATGAGTGCGAGAGAGACAGAGCGACGAGGGCCCAACCCGCTCCGGGGCCCGGGGGGGCGTGGTGGCCTCGTTGACGGTGCCGCGGATCGGCCGGGATTCCGAAGGATCGCTTCGTCGCTGTCACCGCCGCCCCGTGAGTGCGAGAGAGACGGAGCGACGAAGCTCCGTGAGTGCGAGAGAGACGGAGCGATGAAACGATCGGCGGGGCAAACAACGGCGCCTGCGGTCACCCTCGCGCCGTGCTTGTGGTCGAGGACGTGTCGCGGAGGACGAGGAGAGGACGGCGATGAGGTCCTGGTGGCTTGACCTCGAGGCCGAGGGCGTGGCCGCGGGTGTCACAACTCGCCGTCGTGGCGGAGGCGGCCCTGGCCGTGACGAGCGACGCGGACCGACGCGGGCCATCACACCAGCCGATGGCCCGAAACTTTCCTCGGCTGAGCGCAGTGCTTTTGCCGTGCCTGCACAGTGCCTGCACTGGGCACGAGGCGACGGACGAACTCGAACTCGCTGGGCTCATGAATCGCTTATCGCGAACAAGCCTGTTGCCGCCTCACGCCTCGGCTCGCGCCCCCGTCGCCTTGCCCCGCCCCGCCCCGCCCCGACGCGACGCGATGCCTGCTGGGCTTGCTGCTTGTTTGCCAAATTAAAGCAAAAGCCGGGCCGGCCGCGCTGCTAAAATCTAGCGCTGCGCGTGGCCGAGCGGGGGCCGCCCCGCCCCGCCCCGCCCCGCCCGGGGCTGGGCGTGCTAATGGCTTCCAGACCGGCCTGTTTGGTTTGCCTGCATTTAGCCGGGCTGACGACCAACTTGGCGGAGACGGGGCCTGGCGGGCCTGGCCGCTAGAGTTTCGGACGGACCCCGGCAGGCAGGCAGGCAGGCAACTGTGGGACCGGTGCCGGCTGTCCAATCTTTGGGCTTGTCTATCCAGCCGGGTCATCGCTCGCTTCGCTGGCTGTGCTGTGGCTGTGCTCGTGGTCGGAGCGGAGGCCTCGGTCTGGTCGGGGGAAAATGGATCGAGTGGAGCGGCCGTCGGCATCGCCATCGCCATCGGCGGAAGAAGTTTGCGTTTTGCGCGGCCGCTTCAAATTGGGGTGGAGGTCCGACCTACCCCACTGTAATGAAGGGCGCTTGGCGGCGTTGGCGGCGTTCGCCCTCTGCGGGCGTCGCCACGCCCTTGGCTGGGCTGGCAGGGCGGCCCGTCGCTGGGAGGCCTTGAAGGGCGTCCGATTTTGGCGCGACAATGCGCCGCCTGATCAGAGCGCGGCCGTGAACCGTCAACAGCCACGCCGAAAAGATTCGCTCTGTCTCTCTTGCACCTCGCGCCCCGTGAGTGCGGCAGAGACAGAGCGACTGTCTCTCTCTCTCTCTGGCGGTGCCTTGCTGTGGTGGCGTCGCGCGCTGCGTCGCCGCGTAGCTCGGCGGTCGCCGACTTTCCCTCCACTTGACTCGGCCGGCGCTTACTCTGGTTCCCACACCATCACCGACTTGATGCTGCCCTGCCGCCTAGACGGGACGGCCCCGCGAGTGCGAGAGAGACAGAGCGACGAAAACGGCTTTCGGAATGAGTGGAATACGGTGTGCTACGCTGTGCTACGCGAGGTCGCCCACACGGCGATGGCGGCACCCGAGCCGGCACGCCAGCCCTAGCCAGCCCGCCACACGCAGCGTGTTGTATGCAAATGGGTCGCCCGCTGCCGGCCGGCATGGCACCTCTCTCTCTCTCTCTCTCTCTCTCTCTCTCTCTCTCTCTCTCTCTCTCTCTCTCTCTCTCTCTCTCGCACCCCAACGGGCCCAACGGGTCGGCCCGCGAGTGCGAGAGAGACAGAGCGCCAGCGGGGAAATTGCCCCCGGTGATTAATCGGCGTGTTTCTTCCGCCGGATTCGGAAAGCGCGGTGGTTTTTCCTTTTCCCGCGTGAAAATGGCGCCGTTGCTTTTCCGGGCCGCCCTCCTGGAGTGAGTGATGGAGCGAGCGCGGCCCGCAGTGCCCCAGCCACAGGTGTGCCTCGCGGTGCGCCTCGCGGTGCCCGAGGCCGTGTTCCTGGAGGCGGAGCGCGCGAAATTCGGCGGGCGCGCTCCGGCCGTTGCCGTTAGGCGTGCGGTTCCAGGGTTCCTCCAGCACTCGCGCGAACACGGTGGCCCCGGGCTGTGATTGGCTGTGATGGCGACCGGGCGAAGCACCACCACACCGCCATGAAGGCAGCCATGTGCAGGGACAGGGCCTCGCACAGGCCGCCTGTTGTCGTCCGTCGTTGGAGCGGTGCTTCCGGGACGTGATTTCGTGCAGTGGTCAGGACGGCCACCGTGTTGGTGGTGTGCGTGCGTGCGGAGCAGTTCAGTTTGTGTCTCTCCGTCTCTCTCGCACCCCTACGGAACGCCCCGTGAGTGCGAGGGAGACGGAGACACCTCCTTTCGGGTCGTGTCGCCCTTTGCGTGCGATATAAATATGAAATTCCGCTAAGGCCTGCAGGGAGGGGAGCAATTACATGCGCGCGCGGTGTGGACTGTGCGCTGCTGCAACTAGTTGCAGTGCGTCGACGCTCTCTCTCGCACTTGCGCGGCGTCCCGCGGGGGTGCGAGAGAGAGAGAGGGAGACTAGCCGAGCGACCGGTCGGTGTTAGTACTGCGATGGGAACGCGCGCAGCCACCGGCCATTTGGTATGCGCAGTGCACGGTGTGGAGCACGGTGTGGAGCACGGTGTGGAGCCACCGAAAACAGGTGCGCGGTTGCCGGGCATTTGGACGGGAACGGTTCCCATAGCCCAGCCGTTCCACCCTCTGGAGCTCGAGGGCTGTGGGGGCTGCTGGCCATTCACTGTGGCGGCGGCCCGCCTCCCTTGCAGGAATCTGGCAAGCCGCTCGCACGGCGTGGGCGGCGGGCGTGCGGCGTCCGAGCGATCGCAGCGCGCGGGAAGTAGCGGCTGCCGAGGGAAGGACCTGGAGCGCTGAGCGCCGCGTGCGCCGCTGATGTGACAGCCGGTCGCTGACCCGGGTAGCGGGAATCGAGGGGGAGGGGGCGGAGGGGGGCGGGCGGATCCCGGGGGACGCACCTGCCGCAAACTGGCCACGCTACGCAGCTACACTGTGCCGCCGCGCTGGCCGGCCAAGCATGGCGAGGCCAAGCATGGCGCGGCGTGGCGGCTGCCCTGCCCGTATCATACCCAGTGGCTACTTCGGCCGCGCCACACCCGATACCTGTGGCGTACCCCGAGTGCGAGGGCGTGTGTGCGTGAGAGAGTGAGTGAGTGAGTGCGCGGGAGAGTGTGACGACGCGCTAGCGCGCCACGTGTGGTGCTGCCGGTGGATTCTCACATTCCTTTTGCTTTCCTTTGTCCACGTCGCCGTCCTCTTCGTCGTGGTGGTGCTGGCGGCGTGTGGGCTGAGCGGCAAACGGCCCCAGCAGACTGACTCCGAGCGTCGTTTCCGTCGCCCTGTCCCTCTCGCACCCACACGGGACGCCCCATGAGGGCGAGAGAGACAGAGCGACGCAAACGACTCTCGGAATGAGTCTGCAGCGGCCGGTGGTCGCTCTAGTCGGTCCCAATTACTAACTACTAGCCGGCCGTCCGTTCGCGACGAGTCCTGCCAGTCCTGCTGGGCGCAAAGTGGGCTGACCCGAACGTGCCCCGTAATCAACTCGACACTACTAGTTCGGTTCCGTGAAACTGGCCCCGTCCTGAGTCCTTACCCAGGACAGTGTTCCAAGACTTAGGTTATCGCCGGGTCAGCAGCTTCATCGGAATTCCATAAATTGGCTTTCCTCCACTCTTCTTTTTGACCGCGCCACCGGTTTGAATATCAGCGGCCAAAAAATCGTCGCTCTTGCTCGATACCGCGCAAGAGTTTTATTTTTATTTTTATTTTAGTACTTTTTTTCCTTGCGACTGGGCTTTGTAATTATTTGGCAGGCGTGGATGGGAAAGGGGGGAGGGGGAGGGGGAGTGGATTGAGGTGGCGGTGGACTTTCTCGTTGCGTTGCCCTCTCCTTGTTGCTTGCACTGGCCGTCACGCGGGGAGATTTGCCGGACCGTGGCGGGGCGGGGCGGGGCGGGGCGGGGCGGGGCGGTGCGGGCTCGCGGACGTGACGTCAGTCCGCCGGCCGGGTGGCTGTCAGGCCGCGGGGCCTGGCCGACCGGACACTCGTTACACCGTCGGGGCTTAAAGACCCCTGTCCGTGTGCGTGTCAAGATTATAGGCTGCAACAGCTGATGCTGCTGCGCCGCCTCGTTCAATGCGGTGCAGTGCCACCTATCCGAGCCCGCACGCCACCCCCCCCCCTCCTCAAACATCCCGTGTCTCCGTGTGCGTGCAGCTGAACGCTGTTGGGCCCTGCCGTGTCCCCCCCCCCCTTTCCTTATTCCGGGAGCAATTTTTTTTCATTTCGGCGGTCCCGCGAGCGCGGCCGACCGGCCGGCCGGCCCGCCCCCCGCCCGCACGCGTCCTTGGCGGCAGCGCGGCAGCGCGCAGCAAAGTGACTGTAACCTCTACGTCGGTCGGTAGGTCGCGAAAGGGCAGGGCGGGGCGGGGTGGGCGGGGCGCTGGGTTGGCGACCTTCAGTTTGGATCGTCCGCAGGCCGGGGCGCCGCGGTGCTACCCTACAACTAGGTGGTTGACGGCGAGGTGAGGGCGTGGACTCGGAGGAAATGCTCGGCCAGCACGGCGTGGACGGCGAGCACGGCGTCGAGGGCGTGGCGGTGGCGTGCTGGCGGCCGATGACCCCCGCGGCCGTTGGCGTGCCGCGTGCGGCCGCGTGCTGGACTCGGTGCCGTGCCGGGCCTGCCTCTCTGGCCTGCCCGCGCGTCCTCTGACCCGTTCCGTTGGCCGGGCTGCTGGCCCTGCTGGTCGTCCTCGCGTAGGTCGGCGCACGCCAGAGAGGCACACGCCACGCGCGGCGCGTCAGCGCGTCAGCCCCGGGTCGTCCGGGCCGTCCTTGCCGCCGTCGCATTGACCGTCATTACACGGTGATCGATGCCACCGGGGCGCACCGGGGTCACGCACAGCCGTGCTCTGTCTCTCTCGCACTCGCGGCGCGTCCCGCATGCAGCGAGAGAGACAGAGCGACGAAGCTGTGTATTCTGAATGAACCCGCAGGCGCCGCAATGACAGGGCCCGCGGCTCGGCCGGTCACTGCCCGCCTTCCGGGCTCCACTGGTGCACTGGCTGCAGGCTCGGCTCGCTCCGAATCCGAATCTGAATGTGGGCCATGTCCTTGCCGAACCACTGGCCGTGCTATACCACCGCAAGCCCTTTGGCGTTGCCCAGGCGTTGCCTTTGCCGCGTTTGAAGGGCGCCCGCAAGGTCCGCGAGGCCGCAACCCCCAATCGATGCCCGTGTCTTTTGTCTCCCCCGCGCCCCTAATGACCGACAGGCCGACGGGCGCCGACAGGGTCAGCGCACGGGACGGGGCGTTGGACAGGACGGACGGGCAGACGCAGGCCGTGTACACTGTACAGACAGCTAGAGGCGCCTAGGGCAGCGGTTCCCAACCTTGGGGTCGCGACCCCAAATGGGGTCGCGAAAAAATTTCGAGGGGTCGCGGCGAGGTGGCTGGGGTCGCCTGGGGTCGCGGTGTTTTCCCGGCTGGCCCACACGCCGAGCACTGGCTGCTTAAATGCCGCAAAGTTGATCAAAACGGTCACAAATGTCTGTAAAAGATCGTGTTTTGGGCCGACTTTAAGCATCTACTGCGTCTGATCCGAGGCGGTAAATCGTCCTCCCTCAACGGGCAATTGGTCTTTGGACCTTCCTTTTGCATGCCTTTGTTACGGAGTGCGATTATCTGCCTTAGTTTGGGAGCAGTTTTGCCACAAAGTTGATCAAAACACGATTTTTCAGACATTTGTGACCGTTTTGATCAACTTTGCGGCAAAACTGTTCCCAAACTAAGGCACATAATCGCACTCCGTAACAAAGGCATGCTAAGGTAAGGTCTAAAGACCAATTGCCCGTTGACGTAGGACGATTTACCGCCTCGGATCAGACGCAGTGGATGCTTAAAGTCGGCCCAAAACACGATTTTTTTACAGACATTTGTGACCGTTTAGACCAACTTTGCGGCAGTACTGCTTCCAAACTAAGGCAGATAATCACACTCCGTAACAAAGGCATGCAAAAGGAAGGTCCAAAGACCAATTGCCCGTTGAGGGAGGACGATTTACCGCCTCGGATCAGACGCAGTAGATGCTTAAAGTCGGCCCAAAACACGATTTTTTAAGACATTTGTGACCGTTTTGATCAACTTTGCGGCAATACTGCTCCCAAACTAAGGCAGATAATCGCACTCCATAACAAAGGCATGCTAAAGGAGGGGTCGCGTGGGGTCGCGAAATTTTTCCTGGGGGTCGCGGAAAGTTTTGGCTACAAATTTGGGGTCGCGAACCGCAAAAGGTTGGGAACCGCTGGCCTAGGGGCCCACGCCGTCCTTCTCAAGGGCTGCGCCCTTGGCTGCGCCTCGCCGCCACGCCTCGCCGCCACGCCTCGCCGCTCCGCAGGCACGGCCGCTTGATTGGCACCGAGCAGATGGAACGTCTGCAGCAGGTGCCGCTAGGGCGAGAGGCGCGTGGAGAGCCTCGTGGAAGCTGGAGTTAGCCGCGGGACACTGTTGGGTAATAATAACAAGCCTCGTGGAGCGCGGAGCACACTGTGGGCCTTTGTTCGCACGGCCTGCGACGGCCTGCGACCGCGCGAATCCCTTTGGAACGCCCTTTAGGCCCTTTCCTGGGCCCGCGGCTCACGGCGCTACGCGGCGCTACGACCCAAGTTTCGGGCCGGAACGTAAGCCCCAACGGTAATGGATACGGGCCGTGTCGTGTCTTTTCCGCACGTGTGGGCGCTAACAGTGTCACAGTGGACACGGGGACCTTCGGCCCTTCGGGGGACACGACTGAGGACAGGACGCCTTTTGAGCCATCAGGCTGTGCTGCTGGAGCCGAACCCTCGCTGCAACTTTGCGCATGTGTGTGTGTGTGTGTTGTCGGTCAATGCGGTTGGGCCCGTCGGTGTGACTGCGTGCTGGGCGATGATCACTCTGTCCACTCCGTGTCGGCTGGTGTCGGCGTTTCGGCGAAAAAGGGTGCGCGCGTGTGTGCGTGCGTGCGTGTGTGTGTGTGAGTGATTTGACCGCTCGCCGGGGGTCGAATCTGCGGCCGCTTTGTGAATTAGCGCGCTATACCGGGTCGATGCGCACGACACGGCCGTGTGTGTGTGCGTGTGTGTGTGTGTGCCGCCAGCCCCGGGCCTACCGCAAGGACCACAAGGGGACGCTAAGGCCGCCGTCACGCCGAGCCCCCGCTGTACAGTCTGGTTTCGAACAGGGCCTCGTCGCCCTGTCCCTCTCGCACCCCTTCGGGACGGCCCACGAGTGCGAGAGAGAGAGGCAGAGCGACGCGCCGCTCTCGAAAACGGCCCGCCAAGCCCGCTGTATTTATAATGCGGTGGACAAACTAGGCGGGGTAATCCCGGCAGCGCCACGACGCCGTAGCCGTGGATCGGCACGGTCTGCACCGGGGGCACCGGGGGCGTGCGGGGGATCGACGCCGAGGGCACGGCGTCGTCGGGGGCGGTGGGGCTTATCACGACGTGCGTGGTGGAGGGCTGGCCGGGTTGGCCGCGTGTATCGCAGCATCTCCATGCCCTCGTGGCTTGGGCGGGGCGCGGGCGGGGCGCGGGCGGGGCGCGGGCGGGGCGCGGGCGGGGCGCGTGCACTTGAAGAGCATGCGCTTGAAGCCCTTGAGCCGGGGGGGCCGCCCCGCTGCAGAGACTCATGCTGCTGTTGTTTTGCTGTTTGCAGGCGTGTCCTGGTCCGAGAGGCTGTCCCCGTCGCCGTCCTCGGACGCCTGTTCGTGGCGGTCGGGGACGCCGTCGCCGCCCCTGTCCGAGCCCGGCTCCTGCTACTGGGCGCAGGGCACCACCGACGAGGGCATAGTCATAGACCACTTTGAAGACATCCCCAAGAAGAAAAAGGTGAGTTCGGTTTGGATGACGCAACGTCGCTGCCTCCCCCTGGGGCGTCGCCTGTCGGCCGTCATTTCGTGTGACGGTGACGTCAGCCGGCGTCAGGCAGCCTCAGCTCAATCGGCTCGAGTGTTGAGCGCGGTTGTCAGAAGAATGTGTCACTCCAGTTTTAAGACCGACGCAGCAATTGATAAGCGGACGCACACATACACACACACCATACACACTCACACACACATGCACGCTGCTGCTGCCACGCATATGTGCACCACAGTCTCCTTTTTCTGCTCGGCGTGTGGGTGCCTGCTAGAAACAGCCGCATCTGTGAACCAAGCAGTGGAACCACACGATAATGTTCACATACACACACAAACACACACACACACACACACACACACACACACACACACGGAGGCCCGCGTGACGAGAGGAACAAGAAAATGAGCCCGGCGGTCGCATTAGAGCGTCCCGGAATGACATGATACCTATGTGTATACTTAGGGGTCGTAAATATAACCGAGCCCCTCCGAGTCTCCTCTCCGCATCTCGGTCTTGCGCGCCACGCCGAGCGCCGCGACGCTTGATGCGCGGAGAGCACGTCGCGCGCGCGCGTGCATTTGGCGGGCATGGCGGAACCGGCGGAACCGGCGGGAACCCCTCGGGAACCCCTCGGGAACCCCTCGGGAACCCCTCGGGAACTTCTCGGCTTGAACACACCACACCCACCACGCCCGCATGGGCACACTGTGGCAATTTAAATCGCGAGCCCGCACACACATTACCCGCAAAACACCACACACGCACACACACAGGCACTCACACGCACACACACGCGCGTCTTCTCCATTTCCGAATGCCGTTGCTTTATGGAAATGCTTTGCCGGGACTTCCATTTCCGGGCCGGCCTGCCGACTTTACTTTACCTGCCGCTAGGTGGCGCGCCGAGCGCCGAGCGGTCGGGAGCAGACGGGAGCACACAAGTCGACCGCGTTGTGCTTCCGTTTCTTGTAGTATTGCCCCCCGGGCGCCTCACGCGAAGCAGCGCCACAGCGCCAAGCGCCGACGGAGCAACGGAACCCGGGGAAAGGTTTCGGCCGGACTGGGGGTCAGCCACTTCCGGTTTCAAGGGGCCAGGGGCCTCCGTCTCATCTCGGGGTGGCGGGGGCTCTGGACTGCGTCCTGGACTGCGTCGACTGTGTCGCACTGCGCCGGTGGCGGCGCGGTTTAATACCTTTGTCGTGTGTGCGCGCTTTGCACACACACAGGCACGCACGAGCTCGACGCGTATAACACACTTAGTGTACGACGTACTACTTTGTGGCTCCCCTTGCGAGTCGGTGACGCAAGAAAGTCGTAAAAAAGACATGACGTCATGTGGCCTTTGTGCGATCCGTCGCAGTGCGCGCGCGCTCTCTCTCCCTCTCTCACTCGCACGCATACAGCGAGCCCAGCTGCGCCGCGATGTCGGGGTGGTTTGTGTGACGCTGCGGGCGGACTCGACCCGGCCCGTTTTGGCCGAGGCAGACAGACAGTGTCTCAGACGGTCTCCGGCATCGCCAGGGCATCGCGCGGGGTGGCCGCATCCACCATTAGGAGATTGTCCAGACTATATCGGGACAAATGGACGAATAGATTCGGCGGCGGCGCGCGGGTTACCCCGGTGAAGCTGGTGTAGTGTAAGAGGGCCTCGACGAGGGCGAGGCGGCGCGGCGGCGCGGCGGCCTACCTGGCGGTCCAGACGGCCACCACCACCACCCCGTCTCGCCCCCTATTTATCCTATTTCTCACTCGCTCTCCCCCACACCCTACCCGGCCCTGCACGCCCACCGGCCCGGCCGACGCAATGCGTCGCAGACCCTGGGCGTCGGCTGCGGCCGGCCGCCAGACTAAGGTCATATGGCCATATGACCTTACGCCAGACAGGGGAGTGGAGCCTCGGGGTCTCGACGGCCGCCTCGGCCTCCTCGGCCGCCTGGAGCTGGAGACTGGCTGGAGGCCGCCGCCACCGCGTTGCCAAGTCGCGTGTTTGGCTGGAATGGCCCCGGATTGTTTTGACGGCTGCAGGCTGCAGCGGCCGGGCCTGCTGGGCCTGGGCCCCAGTTCCAGACAGACAGGCAGACGGAGAGGCGGAGACGCAGACCCAAAGGCCGAAGGGGGAGCGCGGGGCGTCGAGGGGTCGAGACGCGGGGGTGTGGCGGGGAGGGCGCGGGGACGGCCGGGTCGCTCTCCGGGCGTCGTCCAGGTAGGGACCAGACGACCAGACATGCGAACGAACAGCTGTGCGTGCGTGCACCGCGTGCACCGCGTGCAGCGGCAGGCTTCGTCGCCCTGTCTCTCTCGCACTCATGGGGCGTCCCGTCGGGCTGCGGGCGCCGTGGGGGTGCGAGAGAGACAGAGCGACAACGCAACGCGGTGCAACACAGTGGCCTCTGTGACGCATGAGTCGCCGCGGCCGCCGGCCGGCCGATCTCGCTCGCCACCGCGGAGTAGAGCAAGTCGTTGACCCTCGCTGACGACGGTGGCGGGGCGCGGCGGGCCAAGGTGCAGGTGTCGGCTTCGAGTCCGCTTGTCCGCTTCCAGCCGTGCGCTGCCGCACTGCTGTGGCCCGGCATCTGGGCTTATCAGTCCGACTGTCTGCCTGTCTGCCTGTCCGCCTGCCCCCCGGACGGATAGACTCGTCTGTGCTCCCCAGGCGATGTTAGAGGCCCCGCGCGCCGCTGGCCCCGCCGGCCCCTCCAGCTCTAGCCTCGCTCGGGGGGAGTCCGTAACATAACGAAACGCCACAGCTTTGGACTGTCATTTCAACACTCAGCACGTACAGAGTTTGAATGGCTGGGCGACGCGTATGCACATCGCGAGGAACCGTGATGATAGTGCGGGAGATGGCAGAGTGGCTGTCTCACATGTATGTGGCCGCCATGGCTGCCGCTGTCTCCAACTTCTCGCTCTACTTCGCTTGGCCGCTCGCCGGGCCGCTCGCCGGGCCCTCCCGGCAGAGGCTCCGTGCACTCCGCGGTCCGTCACCGGCCAGCCCCACCTCGCGTTTGTGCTGCGCTGCCTCCCCCCCCCCTTCCCCCTTCCGGTTATTAGTGACCATTGGGACAAACGAAGAAAGCAATCACGTCCCCCCCCCCCTCCCCCGGCAGGGCACTGCAGGGCGGGGCGCCCGAGTCTATTACCGGCAGTACGTGGAGGGTAATGAGTGCATGCGACTCGGAATCCCTCAGCGTTTTCCTGTTTTCGCTTCCCGTGAGCACTCCGCGCTACAGTGTGCTGACCTGTCCCCGTGCGGCACTGCCGGCACACTGCCGGCCGAAGCGGGCCGAGGAGGCATAGTTGACAGCCCCGCCGTCCGCGCGGCGGCCCGCGCTGGATAATTTGTGCACAATTACCGACGATACGGGCGTGTACTCCCGCCATTGTGCAGGCGGCCGTGCTGTATGAAGGTTTGGTGGCCGCGGGCGGGGGCGGCGCGGGGGGCGGGGCGGGGGGCGGCCTGGGGGCGGGGCGCGTGTTCCGTGCCTTCCGTCCGGGTCACTGCTTCGCTGCTCTGCTGCTTCCAGTGCGGGCACGTCCCGATGCGAATGTGAATATGATGATGAGGTCGATGTGGCGCCTCCCTTCCCCCCGCGGCCCCCGCGGCCCTTACGGCCGTCAGCGTGGATCTCTTGTTATCTCCGCGGTGGGCAGCGCGGGACACTCGGGACAGCGACATGGCCGGCCCTGCATGTCGTCGTGGTCGCCATCCGTCTCTGTCGCACTCGCGGGGCGTGCCGTGCGGCGTGCCGTGTGGCCGTGGGGGTGCGAGGGAGGTGGAGCGACGCTGCGGTGGAATCGCTCGGCGGCACAGCCGAGGGCACACTGGGCACAGCGGCAGCTGGATTGGCAGACACGACAAGGCACGCCGCTCCTGCCTTTCCCCGGGCTGGGAAAGGAAACCGGGGCAGTTTGGCTTCCTCCCTCTCAAACTTGCAAGCCTTGCCCCCCCCCCCTCCACCACTCCACTGCCAAGCCCTGGGCGCCCCTATCGGCGGAGGCTGCTGATCGGGAATGCAATTTCGATCGCTTTCGGCTCGCTTTTCGGGCCGCTTTCGGCCGCCCGCCCCACTGTATCTGCCTCGCCGATATCGACAAGACCGGAAAGAAAATGAAAACGCCGAGTGCGGCCGCGCTGTCACGCCACGTCACGCCGTGACACGCCACGCCACGTCACGCCGTCACGCGAGGCGAGCCCGAAACGGCATACCACTTCCGTGTATGCCAACACGCGGCGGCGTGCGGAGGGCCGGGAGGGCCGGGAGGGCCGGAGGGAGGGGCGCCACTCGTTTTGCGTTCTCCGCAAAATGGGAGCCTAACCTAACTGAAGCATTTTGCTCCGTGCCTGCACTGCGAAAACTTGCTCCGCGTGACGTCCAAGAGGATCATGGTGAGAGTGGTCACCGTGGTCACGGTGCCGACCGGATCGACGGCCACTCCACTGCGAAGCGCGCCTTCCTCGCGTCTGCCTTCCAAAGCGAACTCCAGTCCTCCTGGAATTCGGTGCGTTGCCCTCCTGGAAGTCCTGGAAGCCTGGAAGGCCTGGAAGTAATAAGCAAGGGGTAGCTCGGACGTGCCCCGATGGGCCCCTCGATGGCCCCCGATGGCCCCCGATGGGGCTCGTGCTGCACGCTGCCCCCTTAATTAGAGGCCGAATGGGGCGCCAGCCCGCCTCGCCACGCCACGCCGCGCCACGCCCCACTCCACCGGAAGCTTAACTCAATCGGCGCAGCAGTCTCATCAAAGGTGCGTCCGCTGGATTCACGCGCGCCATTTCTGGCGGGAAGGCGCGAGTTTGTGTGTGCGTGTGTGAGTGTGTGCGTTCCGACAGGAAATGTGGACTTTGATTGGCAATCTCGCTTGTGTCCAGCCATCAGCGGCTTATGGCCGTGCTTGTGGCGCGGCCGCCCGATGGGCCGCCAAGTCGATCACGCGGCCGACCCTTTCGCACGCGAGTATTTGTGGCGGCTCAT